GTATCCATTACGAACTTCAAATACAAAAATTGAAAGATTTCCGGTGAATAATGTCGCTTAAGTCATCAAAATACCGAATATCGGGAGGTACCTTCATATGACGAAGACGTGAACCTGCATAGGCAGTTTTCTGTCACAGGCTGTAGTACCCATTAGGAACTTTAAATACGAAATTTGAAACAATTCCTGCGAAGAATGTCGCTGAAATACGAAGATGTGAACCTGCACAGACAATTTTCTCTCTTAGGCTGTAGTAACCGTTATGAAATTCAAATACGAAATTTGAAAAAAATCCGGTGAAAATTTTTACTATAATATTCAGAATACAGAATATAGAGAGTTACCGTTATATGGTGGACCTATATAGCCCGAAAGTCCTGCAGAACAAATACACATATGAGTAAAATGCTATCGACCTACTTCAATTCAATTTCCACAGACGGACAAACGGTCGGACGGACATCGATACATCGACATAGCATTTTAGCTGATCATGAATATATATACTTTGGGTCTAAAATATTTATTTCTAGGTCTTACAAAGGGAATGACAAACTTAATATGTATATTATATATATGTGCTGTTGGCTGTTGGGATAAGCTGAAATTTGATATTGAGGTCACTGTTGGTTTCTAGCGTTTGCATATGGACAGAAATATTGGATGTGGATCCATTGTCTAACGAATTTTATTGACCTCCTGGTCAAACTTCAAAATAAAAAAAATATAATTGCTTTTAAATGAAAGCAAAAAATGTCGGAAATAGCACCACATTTTAGAATAAGTTTAGATTTGTTCGAATTGGTGATCTTTGGCACGAATTATGGCCTTCAAACTGCATATGAAACCGACACACGCTGCCCGAATATTGCTCTGCGGTATTTTGGACCATTCCCGGTGAAGCGTCGAAGGTGTTCGACACTTTGGTATTCTTTATTGCCAACATTGCTTTCCAAAATATTCCACAATAGTCCAACGGATTGGTATCCGGAGATTTTGGTGGCCATTGTGCGCTGGAAATGAAGCGAGGAACCTAATTTTGTAACCATTCTTGGGTGGCACGTGGTGAGTGCGATAAATCTGAGTCTGTTGGAATGTCCAAGGTCTGCGGCCAAAATGTTTACGTGCCCAAAGCTTTAATACACCCTCCACAATATTTTCGCGATGATATTCGGCAGTTTTTCTGATGCCACGGTCTATTAATACGAGCGGAGAGCGGCTGTTGGCTGTTATGGCGGCCCACATCATCACTATGGCCGGCGCTTGAGTTCTGTTGGCCAACCGAAGGTGCACCTCTTTGGCAAGTAAGCACGTTCATTTTGTTTGTTTACAAATTGCTGGACAATGAATGTTTTCTCATCGGTGAAAACCAAAGTTCGTTAAGTTCGTTAATGGGCCATGTAGGTCCAAGTTTTCATATAGCCCCCATATAACGGTACCTCCCGATATTCGGTATTTTGAGGATTTTAGCGACATTATTAACCGGAAATGTTTCAAGTTTGGTATTTAAAGTTCGTAGTGGATACTACAGCCCATGACAGAAACTTGTCTATGCAGGTCCAGGTCTTCGCACAGTTCCGTTATAACGGTACCTCCCTATATACGACATTTTGATGATTTTAGCTACATTATTTACCGTTTAATATGGTAATGACTTATGACAAACAATGCCTATGTAGGTCCACGTCGTATAGACCCCAATATAACGGCTATATTCGGCATTTTTAAAAATTTAACAAATGGTGGAGGGTATTCAAAGTAAGGCCGACCGAATTTTCTGTTTTTTAACTTGTTTTTTCTGTTGCGGTGTAAGTTCTTGCACTTTTTGGAATTTCAATGGCTCTACCCCGAGCTCATTTTTCAATATTTGCCGAATGGAATATTGCGATATATTCAGCTCACGAGCCATTTTTCCCACTGCGACGCGGGTTTCGATCAAGTCGCTTCTTTACTTTTCGAAGCATTTCTGGTCCTTGCCTCTGGTTACGCTACCAGTATCACGGTAACGAGCGAAGGTAAGAGATACAAAAGATTTATTCACATTTAAATGCTGGAGTGCTCTAACGATAGCCACTTGTGGTTTTCCAGCCAAATATCACTTTTGAATTCCATCACGAATAACTTTTTTTCTGGAAAATTCTCACTAAAATGCTTTTGTAGGCTTGTAAATAATATAATGAGCTGTCACTGGAATAATTTTAACAGCTGTCGGACGAGTGGCTTAGAAGTGACAGGAGTCCAAATTTGGTTGCCGTTTTTTCATCTCACCCTCTATTTGCATAGTATCTACAGAACTTTGTAAAGTGATATCTCATTATGGGCGCCATCATATTCATGCGAGATAGGTTATTAATTTATTAACTTCTGTATTCCGATACTCTAACTAGTTAACGACAGAATTTGGTGAGAATAGAGATGAGGAGAAGAGTTAAAAAAGAAAAGAAACATTTTAGAGAACCCAATCATTGGCCTCTGTTCATGCGAATATTGCTGAATTGGAGCGTGGGATTTCACCGGCTAATTTCAGAGACCGTGTAATGGAGAGCCAAAACAAGAAGCCAATATATGTATGTATATTTGATCTCGTAGCTCGCACAAATTGATGTAGGAGATCCCAATGAAAGAAATAAATCACATGGAGCACAAGAAAAATAAAAATAATAAAGTGATAGGATACTTAAAGTTGGAGAGTATCTTTATTATTTTGGATGCCTTAAAATTTATTACTCACTGAACAGGTGTGGTATCTTCCAAAGTTAGCAAAAGACAAGACAGATAAAAAAGGAAATTGTCTCTTCAACATGGCCGGTACACTCGCTGTCACTGATTACTTTAGTAGAAGTATCTTGCCGTTATTACACTAGAATAGCCTTGGCATTTTATAAAGATATTGCTTAAAAAAAGAATGGGGAAATGTAGAGATGTATATTTGGCGTAAACAGTCTATTAGATGTACATTTGGCGTAAACAGTCTATTTAAAATTAGATCCCTCATATATTCTTAGAAAAAAAAAACGAAATATGTTATAAATATGTGTTTTATTGTTTAAAGTCAAAAACGGTACATCAAATAAGCTGTAAGCATACAAACATACATGTACATTTATATGTCTGGAATATATGATTGATTGATTGAAAAGGTTTAACTTATAAACTATAAACAAAAAATTTGTGTAATTATTTATAAACTAAAAGGAAAGAAAATAAAGAGTTCAATACAGGTGTCCATAGTATTTACAATTAAGAGAAGTTGAGGCCAATTATAATAGGAAAAAAAGAACAAAAAATATTCAATTTTAATTACTGTACAACATTTGATTATAATTAAATTTAACAAAGGATATAGGCTTAAGAAAAAAAATGTATTATTGTTGTGATTATTTCGTGTTTTATTTTTAACAAAATATATATTAATTGTTGTTTAATCAAAATTATTATGCGCTTTCTTACTTTAATAAACTTAATTAACGCCACTATAGCACCAAGCGGATAAATATCATATATTTCCTTTTTTTAGTTTTTGTCATTCATTTAAACTATGTTTATGCGTTTTAGATTTATATTTTTCCATCTATATTTGTGTATTTATAAATATGTTCATATTTTGTTTTTATAATTTTATTTATTTCCTTTTTTTCATAAAGATTAAATAATTGCTTTAAAATATAAGGTATTGTGAACAACTTGAAAGTTTTTTGTTTTTAAATATTTATATATATACTAATTATTATGAAAATATTTAACAATTAATAATAAGCACTTAATTTATATTTATAAAAAAAACATACATAGATTTAAAAACAAATTTACAAATTAACATGATTTCAATTATAGGGGGTTAGAGCGTAGGCAAACCATACATGTACTGTACACACAAATGTGTAATGGTTTGAGTGTTGGGTGTCTGACAATGTTGCCACTTGGCAAAATTTCCCAAAAGCCAAAATCGTCCAATTTCAAAATTTTTATAAAAACCCACATTAAAAAGTCTGTCGGGGCCGACTATATGACACCACCACTATGCGTATTTTGTAGAGTTCCCGTAACAAAGAAGTTTATATTGGGTATTTATGAATTATATTAACAAATATTTATTGGAGCAATATATATATATACCGGACCGAGTTTCAAAAAATTGAACGATTCGGTTAAGTATGAAAAAATCTATCCAAATTGGGCTGATATTGCATATATGGTGAAGAATAACTGTAAAATCTATATATAGCTATATATATGAACAGATCTCGATAAAATTTGGCAGAGGTATTTTCAACCTGTAAAGATATATTTGGCAGCTATAGCTATATCTGAACCGACCTTGATAAAATTTAAGCTCTTATTTCTGAGCTGTATTTGATATACCTGCTTCTATGCTGAATTCCGTCGGAAATGCTAAAATGCCGGTCATTTGGACTGAAATTAACCATTTGGTGTACAATTAACCCGAAATCAATTGAACATATACATGGGAGCTATATCTAAATTTGACCCAATTCTCACCAATTTCAAAAAAATTTCATCTAAATCGGATAATAAATGTGACCTGTATTTTGTTCACAAAAAATACATGGACAGACGGCCGGCCGGACTGACATGCATAAATCGACTCAGAAAGTGATTCTATGAAGATCCTAAAAAGAAAGTATGGGTCTATCTCGCTTTCTTCTTCTTGTAACATGCACAAAGACATAATGACCTTATCGCTATGTGGTGTAGGGTATAATGAATATGTTTGAATACGAACGATTCGAGTAAAGTTTTTTTTATAAAAAGAGGCTGTTGATGGACTTTAAAAAACCGCCCAAAACAGAGAGCCAAATGGCAAGCCTGCCTCACAAATTAATTCCAGATTTCTAAATTGTCCCAACGTTGAATTTATGAATTCTATTTGAAATGAATGGAATTATTTCTCCCTATTTGGGCGCCATTGTTTATATACCTCTACCCCCCAAACACATATGTACGTTACTATGTCTGCACTGATTGAAAAAGGATTTGAATTGAAATACATGCATGCATACATACATACATTACATTGAACTGACAGATTGGAATATTAGTTACGTTTCGATGAATTAATTAAATATTTACAACAATGTGTCAACAAATGTTTTTCCGTCGACGATGACGAATTGTTGTGATGACTGCTGTGATGGGGCGGAGCACCCAACTCACGGGTATAGATATCCAAACCGTATTGTCCTTCCTCGGGGAAGCTAAAATGAAATGGAAGAAATTAAGAAAATTTAAAATCAAATGATTTTTTCTGCCAGGTTTGTCTATTATTTGGCCTCTCCTTCAGACTTACTTTATAATAAACGTCACAATATCATCCAATATACTGTGCGTAACATATTTGGAGAGTTTCTTTTCTTCGATGCCGTTTTTGTGCAGCGTTGCCATGAAATCTGTTAGCGGCCGAGACATACGGAATTGCAAATCTAAACTGCGGCCGGCAAATATAAGAGGATCCTGAAAAAATATTTTTTTGATTGGAAATAAAAAAATGGAATCTGAATATGTTAAAAAGTTTGGTTATACCTGATGCGTAATGGGTATCAGACCAAAGAGACGTGTTGCTTTTGTTGGACCCCATTCACCGCTGGCACAATCCGGCAATGGGACCATAACTGTTTGTAATTCTTCACAACAAATCTGAAAATATAAAGTTGTGTTTACCAATTAAAAAATATACATAGATTTTTTCTCTAAAGAAAAAGTAATTTCTTTCGAATTGAGCGTATTTTTCTATAGAAAAATATCTCTCAAGATTACCCTAATTCGCTGCAATGTTTAAGGAAATGGTAGACAAAAGCTGGTAGTTATGAAAACACATTATACTTAAACCAAAAGAATTAAAGCATACTTTCAGGCGTCATTGATTAAAAATCATTTAAACCCTTTGAAATCATGAGTATGGTGATAATTCGATTTGACTTACCTTAAATTTGCACACCGATTTGAATTTCATTGGTTCACCGGTTAAATATTCCTGCGGCGTTACTGCATTGGCAAATATATCCAACAGAAATGCACCCGAACAGGGAGCATGCACCCGGAATGCCACAATATTACCAATCACCGATTGCATAACGAAACGTTTCAACGATACACCATCGTACGAATCCTCATCACTGTCGTAGAATTTCAAATTGTAATGGAATATCAGGCAACTTTGCATGTCCGTGGGCATGGCAATACGAACAGTGGCGGCACCTGGTGATATATTGCAAGTGATACATTTCTATATTAAAAGGATTTTGTAATTCATCCGACATGAGAAAAGATTTTTTCCTCAGAACTGAGGACAGATTTTTCTCTATAAAAAAATCTTCATATCTGAGGACTGATTTTTTCTATAGAAAAAAAATCCTCAGACCTGAGAACAGATTTTTTTTTCTATAGAAAAAAATCCTCAAACCTGAGGACAGATTTTTTTTCTATAAAAAAAATTCTCAGACCTGAGGACAATTTTTTTTTCTATAAAAAAATTCTCAGACCTGAGGACAGATTTTTTTCTATAAAAAAAATTCTCAGACCTGAGGACAGATTTTTTTTTCTATAAAAAAAATTCTCAGACCTGAGCACAATTTTTTTTCTATAAAAAAATCCTCAGACTTGAGGACAATTTTTTTTCTATAAAAAAATCCTCAGACTTGAGGACCGATTTTTTTCTATAGAAGAAAAAATCCTCAGACCTGAGGACAGATTTTTTTCTATAGAAAACCTCCCGGTGAGGACAGATTTTTTTCTATAGAAAAAAATCCTCAGACATAAGGACAGATTTTTTTTCTTTAGAAAAAATTCGTCAGGTCTGAGGACAGATTTTTTTCTATAGAAAAAAATTCCTCAGTTCTTAGGACAGATTTTTTTCTATAGAAAAAAATTCCTCAGTTCTGAGGACAGATTTTTTTCTATAGAAAAAAATTCCTCAGTTCTGAGGACAGATTTTTTCTATAGAAAAAAAAATCCTCAGACCTGAGAACAGATTTTTTTTTCTATAGAAAAAAATCCTCAAACCTGAGGACAGATTTTTTTTCTATAAAAAAAATTCTCAGACCTGAGGACAATTTTTTTTTCTATAAAAAAATTCTCAGACCTGAGGACAGATTTTTTTTTTCTATAAAAAAAAATTATCAGACCTGAGGACAGATTTTTTTTCTATAAAAAAAATTCTCAGACCTGAGCACAATTTTTTTTCTATAAAAAAATCCTCAGACTTGAGGACAATTTTTTTTCTATAAAAAAATCCTCAGACTTGAGGACCGATTTTTTTCTATAGAAGAAAAAATCTTCAGTTCTGAGGACAGATTTTTTTCTATAGAAAAAATCTTCAGTTCTGAGGACAGATTTTTTTCTATAGAAAAAATCTTCAGTTCTGAGGACAGATTTTTTTCTATAGAAAAAAAATCTTCAGTTCTGAGGACAGATTTTTTTCTATAGAAAAAATTCCTCAGTTCTGAGGACAGATTTTTTTCTATAGAAAAAAATTCCTCAGTTCTGAGGACAGATTTTTTCTATAGAAAAAAATTCCTCAGTTCTGAGGACAGATTTTTTTCTATAGAAAAAAATTCCTCATTTCTGAGGACAGATTTTTTTCTATAGAAAAAAATTCCTCAGTTCTGAGGACAGATTTTTTTCTATAGAAAAAAAATCCTCAGTTCTGAGGACAGATTTTTTTCTATAGAAAAAAATTCCTCAGTTCTGAGGACAGATTTTTTTCTATAGAAAAAAATTCCTCAGTTCTGAGGACAGATTCCTCAGTTCTGAGGACAGATTTTTTTCTATAGAAAAAAATTCCTCAGTTCTGAGGACAGATTCCTCAGTTCTGAGGACAGATTTTTTTCTATAGAAAAAAATTCCTCAGTTCTGAGGACAGATTTTTTTCTATAGAAAAAAATTCCTCAGTTCTGAGGACAGATTTTTTTCTATAGAAAAAAATTCCTCAGTTCTGAGGACAGATTTTTTTCTATAGAAAAAAATTCCTCAGTTCTGAGGACAGATTTTTTTCTATAAAAAAAATTCCTTAGGTCTGAGAACAGATTCCTATAGAATACAAAACCTCAGACCTGAAGACAGTTTTTTTTTGCCATAGAAAAAAGTCCATAGAAAAAAGTAAAAAATCCTCAAGTGTTATTTTCAATAATGAACAAACTTTTTCTATAGAAAACATTTTGTTCTGTAGAAAAAATATATCCCACGAACTCTCTTTTTTCTCTCACCAGTATCGTCCGTAAAGACCACTGCTCCATAACCCTCATCGGCAAAATGCAAGCCATAGCGGAAGAATAATGAACGCACAAATGGTAGATTCTCAAATTCTCGCAGAGTAATGGGACGCTTGAGCAGCTGCCATTCTTCTTGCAGGGGGAAGAATTCATAAATGAATTCTCTGGGATCGGTCAGGAAGTAATGGTCATCATATTCATATCTAGAAAATAAAAATACAATCAATGAAATAAATCTCAAAAAAAATCCTCCCACCCTCTCACCTCAAACTATCGTTTTTACCCCTTCCCGTCTTGGGTACCTCCTTGGCATTGACCAAATGTCTAGCACCCCAATTACATTGTACAAAACGCCATGCGCCAGCAACGAAGACAGCATTCCACGAATTGCGGAAACGAGAATCTTGAAACTTCACTCCTGGCTGGTAGCCGGCACTTTTCGAGTAACCCTTAATGACAACGCAATGAAGACCGGCATAACTGCAGAGACGCTTGAAGAGCACATGATAACTCTCAGTGCCAAATTTGATACCCCGCAGCAGCCCCATGGGTGAGTCTCCGCGCAAGTCATCATCAAAGTGCATATTATTCAAATTCTTGACGGTAATCCAACGGAATATTGTTCGGGCCTTTTCGATATCGGTTGTGCAACGACCCACCAACTGCCTCACTAGATCCGTAAATGTTTTCTGATCCTCCTGGGCCACCGATATGGCTATGCGATCCACGTCTTCAAACTCAATGGGGTCGGTGTAGATTTGGAATTTACTAACTGTGGGCGGTGCAGGCAATGGTGGCAAATTGGGATATTCTATGGGTGTGGTACCCTCACTGAACTCATCGTCCAGGAAAATGCTCTCGTTCATCATGTACTCGGAACGACGGGCACTGATCAACTCCAACATTTCACTGGACTGACGATCGACTAGAGCTGCCGTCTCATAACGTTCGTGTTCGAGCATTTTTCGTGTTATGCTCTCCTTCTTTTTGCTGCGTCTCAGGGTCATGTTCTTTTCCAAGTCCTCCTTTTGTTGTTCGAGGCGTTTGGTGAGAATGTTCTGCTCCTCACGATTGCGCCGCGATGTGGTCAATTCTTTTTCAAATTTGTGCGTCAGCCGCTGCAGTTCACGTTCCCATTCGGTTTGGAATTCGGATTGAATTTTACGATCTTCCTCTTCACGTTTACGTGCAAATTTGCGATACAGGTCATCTTCCTCCTGGCGATGTTTCATTTCGAGGCGAGCTTGTTCTTCGCGGCCCTGAAAGGGGAAGTAGAGGGGGAATTAATGGATGTTTTCCTGGAAGTCTTATAAGAATCAAATGGATTTGTTTGAAATGTCATAAGAAGTGAGAATTAATATCTAAGGTCCTGAGAATATACGTTTCCTAAATAATAGAATAATAGGAGAATATTTATAAGGCACTGAGGTGGGATATTTTTTCTATAGAATAAACGTACCTCAGTGACTGAGGACGAATGTTACTTTTGAAAATCCTCAAAGAATCACTTGCTGATTCGATTTATGCATGTCAGTCCGTCTGTCCATGAATTCTTGTGAACAAAAAGCTGGTCTTATCCGATTGAGATGAAATTTTCTAAACAATATTTGTTTGGCCCAAGGACGAACCCTATTGAAATTGGTGAGAATCGGTTCAAATTTAGATATAGCTCCCGATTTCGGGTTAATTGTGCACCAAATGGTCAATATCAGTGCAAATGACCTGAAAAGGAAATACATCAAATTTGGAGAAAATCGGTTCAGATATAGCTATAGCTCCCATATACACGTTTCATCGGATTTGGGGTTTTAAGTGCCTCACATGCGTAATATGCACTACAGCTCGATTCAGATTTGGATATAGCTCCCATATATATCTTTATTCGAATTCAGATTTTTTGTGCACCAAATGACCAATATCAGCCCAAATGGAGTGAATTGTGGCACTTCCTAACGAATTCATCCTAAAAATAAGTACTTCAAATTTGGTGAAAATCAGTTAAGATATAGCTATAGCTGCAATATATATGTTTCATCCGATTTGGTTTTAGAGTCTCTCACATGCGTAATATGCACTCTACAACAATGATATTTGATGACGGACCTCAGATGCTACTCGAAAATACCTCTGCCAAAATTCATCGAGATCGGGTTAGATTTTTATATAGCTTCAATATACATCTTCATCCGATTTTACGCTTATTGTCCACCATACATGTATCCAAATTGGATAGATTTTTTCATAATCTACCGAATTTTTCCTATTGGTGAAACTCGGTCCGGTATATCTATTGCTCCAATAAATATTTTTTAATATAATTCTTATCGAAGTCATACCATGCAATATTATTTAGTACTAGAGGTACAAAAGTCTCCGTCAAAATTGTTGAAAGTCGATTCAGAGTTGGATATAGTTCCAAAATTGTGACTAGTCTATAGCCATGATACTCATTCAAATAAGGTTCATAGTTGATATGATCTACTTCACATAAATTTAAACTTTTTTTGATATGGGAGTTCTGCTAAATACGCATAGTGGGGTAGGGTATCAGATAGTCGGCCTCGCCAAACTTTTGACTTTTTCTTACTGGTTTTATATTAGTTTTTCAAAGTACATTATTGTTAATTTATGCCAACAGAATTACATTACATACATTCAATCCAATTCTATTGCACTTTATACGCCCAGCTCTCTCAATCTCGCCCTAATTGATGAGGTGTGCATTTGATGGAGTTTGTGTTGAAGTTTGGTTTTCGAAATAAATCAGTCAAGTGCAGTCCAGTGAAACAGCAATGATTATTGTAATTAAACTGGCCATCAACAAAGCATAACGTAAATAATAATAATAACAATCAACCACAACAACAACAACAGCAGCAGCAACGGCAACAACATCAAAGTCTAAAACTGCAACATTCAACGGCAATAACAACATTTGAAGTGCAGCACATTTCTATGAAATGCGTCTGAGAGAGAGGCCTCGGTCGTTCATTTATTGAACAAACAAAAAACACACACATCAACATCAGATTTGAATTGGTAAAATGCATTTGGTTAGTTGGGAGGAAATATTGGATTGCTATTAAATTCAACATTGTTCGAAGAGTAGGTGCATTGGAGTTTGAGTTGTTTTTTTTTTTTTATAAAGAATTAAAGTTCGATTTATTGTCAATGAGTTGGAACGCGTTAGAAAATGTGTGTCCGCTTGGGGGTCGTCATCAATCACTTTCGATTTTAAGACCGACAATCGTAGAGTTATTAATCATACTTGACGGGAGAAATTATGTGCATAAGTTATTCGACATTTCGAGGGAATTCAAAGGACGAAATATGACACTTTTGAAGTGAAATGTGCAATTAAATTAAATTAAATTAATTAAATTAAATTAAATTACAAAAAATTTTGTATGAAGGTCCAAGTCTTTGTATAGCTCCATATAACGTTAGATCCCGATATTCGGTATTTTGATGATTCTAGCAACATTATTCACCGGAATCGTTTCAAATTTCGTACTGGAAGATCCAAATGGGTACTACAACCTATGACAAAAATTTTGTATGCAGGTTCAGATCTTCGTATAGCCACCGTATAACTGTACCTCCCGATATTCGGTATTTTCATGATTTTAGCGACATTATTTGCCGGATTTATTTAAAATTTCGTATTTGAAGTTCGTAATGGGTGCTACAGCCTATGACAAAAAATTTTCGTATGGTCCCCATGTAGCGGTTTTCAATTAATTTTTTTTTTTTTGAAAATTTTCAAGTTTCTTTAAAATGGCCCGGCCGAACTTAACTACTTTTTTACTTGTTTAGTACTCAAAATGCACAATTTATTCAGTTCGACAATTTTTTTAATCAAAAATTAATACATCTTACAAAATTTTAAAACTTTCTTTTATTATTTAAATTTTTTTTTCGGAAAGAAAGTGTTTACCTTTTAACCCAAGAAGTCTTAAAAATCTTTTATTTTTAAGTTCACCGAGGATAATATTAGTATTTTGCAATGGTTTGTAAAATGGTCCAACATCCAAATTATTCTCAGCGTCTCTATCCCTTTAATACTTTTCGGTTAATTACTTTTCGTAAATTCCAAAAACACCTCTAGATCTCAATCCCAGGAACCTAACAACAGGAACCTCAACAGCAAATTTCAAGATTTCAGCTCTTTTCCTTCCCCCAACGCCCAATGTAGTACCACTTAGTATTTTTTGGAACAACTGTAGTACGCATTTGCCAGATCTCAACACGAGATATCAACAGAGACCTCAATATAAAATTTCGGGATTGAAGCCATATACATCCACTAAATATCACATTTAGTAATATTTAATAATTTTCGTATAATTTTAGGACTCATTTGCAAAACCTTTCCATATCTCAATTCTAGACTTCAATAGTTATCGCAATATAAAATGCCAATACCAAAGTTAGTAGCATCTATTTCAATTTTGTACTTTTCGAACAATTATAGTACGCTTTTTCAAAACCACCTCGATATTTCAATTCCAGAATTGTACCTTCCATTTAGTACTTATTTTCGTACAATTGTATTACACACTTACAAAACCACCTCCATATCTCAATTCTAGATACCAATTCAGCCTTTAAATCAAATTTGAGGATTCCAGCTCTATTTCTTCACGCAATACCAAATTTAGTACCATTTAGAACTTTTCGAACAAATATAGTACGCATTTCCAAATTCACCTTCAAATCTCAACTTTAAATACCAACAGTCATCTAAATATCAAATTTCAGAAATTTATCTCCATCCCATCACCTAGTACTAAATATAGTACCATTAAGGTCTCAATAAGGTCTTGAAGACGCTGAGGCAAAACATACATATTGTAATAATATATATTTGAAATAATAAATAATAAATAAAAAAAAAAGTACTTTCCGTACAATTATTTTATACATTTCCGAAATCATCTCCATATGTCCAGGCTTCACATAATCACTGACCCTGAAACCAAATTTCGCATTTGAAGTACTATCTGTTCACCCAATACCAATTTGTATAAAATATGTAGTACTTTTCGAGCACTTGTAGGACACATTACCACAACCACCTCTTTCTCACAAATCTACAACCAACAGGGATCCCACTACAAACATTTCGAAATTCCAGCTCCATCCGTTTAGCCTTAACAAAACTATTATAAATTAGGTAATATTTTGTATATTTTACACATTTGGTATACATTTCCAATCGGAAATATATCAGTCTTACTTTCTTACTTTTATGCTCATACAAAATTTCAAGATGATAACTCTATCCGTTCACATAATACCAAATGGTACCATTTTAAAACTTTTTCTAGCCTTATGCTACGAATTGTAAAAAGCCCTTTGGTATCCATCAATGGAACTCAAAAGCCCTTTATCCTGCACTCCATCAATGGCTCTCAGTCCAAATTTCTGCTTATTCCATTTGTCAAAAACAAAGTATTCAAATTTCAGTCCATTTTAGAATATTTCGTACCCATTTAGTTCAAAATATCACACACCTACGTACCAAGACTGACCCTGGTGCAAAATTTCTAGATTCTAGCTTCAGTCGTTTCTTGTAAGCATCCTACAAAGGCCAAATAATGGGAAATAGTATTGCATTTTATGAGGTTTAAATTTTGACCATTTGTGTGAAAGGTACCAGAGGGAATGTTCTGATATATATCCAATTTTCTGTTATATCGAGTTATGATATGCACGGACAGGTGATCAGCTAGATTCTATGTTTCCTAAAAGTGGCATTGTGTACAAAACCGACGAAAATAAAAATATACATCAAAATTATATACATATTCTTTCAATTGAAGGTCATGTAGAGCAATTGGCATGATTAAATAAATTACCTTATTCGTGTTTTCATCAAATAATAATATATAGCTAATCTTTGATCAGCATTTTGTTTGGACATTTTTGTCATGTTTTATGTTGTATCTCTTCAATCGTGTTAATTAACAAATAAATGACACTTTGTAAAGGTCCGTTGGTTTTGAGTTTTTGTTTTCAATTATTAAAATATTTTTTTATTGAAAGAAATAACATTTGTATGTCGATTTATAAATGTGTGTTTGACCAGTGGGTTAATATTGGTATACAGGGTGAGATAACAAAACTGCAACCAACTTCAGACTGCTATCATTTCAAAGTCACTCGTCTGACAGCTGTTAAAATTATTCCAGTGACAGCGAACAAATGCATTTTTGTGAGAATTTTCCAGAAAAATTAATATTCGAGATGGAATTCA